TGATATTAACAAAGTCAATGAGCGACAGGGCTCAAAAGGGGCTCAATAAGAGGAAGGTAGAGTGATCCTAAAAGCTAGAGGTAACTGGGTCGAGGTACCGCGGACCTGTCATACACAACTACTAGGACCCTAAGTCTACCTGGTCGTGAAGGTAGTCAACCCAACACGTTCTGAGGTTATAGGTAAGCAATCCGTGAATTGCCTCGTCCATGGGAATCTCGGTAGCCCTAAGGTCAAAGGAAAAAAAACTCTATCTTATGACTATCAGTTAGAGCTCTAAAATGTGAGACTTATACATGCCAAAGTAGCAATGATGCCTCAGGAGAGAAAAGAGAGTGGAGGTTCAACTACAAAACTTGAAACGCTCCCAACAAAAGGACTTATACCCCGTCCGGGTCGGGGAGTCTTCTAACACCCTAGGCGCACTAGACAACCACTTATAAAAAGGTATGTTGGGTCAGTCAGGTTGAAGAAGCACGAAGGCTCTTTCTCAGGACATGCAAATATGAATGCAGTTATCTAAAGCTGTTCTTAAGAATATGGAGAATATTGCAAATTTTAAATCCTGAATATTTTAATCCTAAATTTTAATTAACTTGAATCTAAATTTTAATTAATCCTAAATTTTAATTAACTTGAATATTTTATTTAGGATTTTGTAGAAAATTACAATTTTAGGGTCCTTAATGATCCTATGTTATATCGTGACATCCCAGGTAAACCACAGAAAAAAAAAACCAGAAAAACACATGCAAGTGTAGATATGCAATATGATGCAAAAAATAAAAAATAAAGCAAGCCAAATAAAATAGTAAACATACCAGCGCTGCTGGGTCAGCAACATATCCCATAAAAGAAAAAAGGCGGTCGAACTCTGCATATATATTCCCGGTCCTAATTTTATACATCAATATAAAATGCAGAATTAAGTTACGGGGCACGAGCATATGCTCCTGATCCCCTCCACGTGGTTCCCGCGCCAAACACATTAGAACCCGTGCTCATATCTTATTTCTGCCACAGGACTCTCTTAGACTCTAAAAGTACATAGAGAAAAGAAAATGACTCAATCCTGCATGAAAATAAGTGTCAGCGGGAAAGCTCACATGCAAATAACGTATCATGAGTTGTACCTTAAAAGTGAGGGAGCTAAATAACACCTGCAAGTAAAAGGGTCAGAAATCATCACATGCTCCCCCATATCAGTACCTGTGTGTGTGCATATAAATAGACATAGTTCCTTGTAGAAGAACACCCTAACACACTACCATACATATACAACATACAACACACCACAAGCACAATGCAAAAGAAAAATATTTGGCTAGGGCAACCAATCCAACAGAAAACAATAACCAGACATCAAAATGATTACCTAACACCCTAAATCCTAGCCTAGCACACCATCTAATGAAAAGTGTGTCAACCTAGTATTTAAGTTTGGGGTAAGTATGTGTATAGTATGACTTTTACGGGGTCGCCATATCGCCCACATCCAAAAGATTCGAAGGATCTAAAGGGTGTCATGAAGAGAGGTGACACAAGTTAGATCTATTAGATCTTTAGCACAGTCATAACAGTCATACTCGTGTTAATCTAATCTCGATGACTTAACTTGCATTGCTCATCGGGATCAACCCAGCAAGCAATGCTCGTTAAGGCATCGCGGACGACACGGGGTCGCTCTCTTAACGAGCCTAGCTTGCTACCTATGCAAACATGCAAATACAAATGCAGACAATCATGTGACAGAAGTGCTGCGTGTACCGTGGGGCAGTGACTCAGGAAAAGATTGTCATACCGTGTAGGCAACGACCCAAACAAATGAGTGTGTCATGGAGACAGCGACCAGAATAAGGTGTGCCTAGGCTGCAGTGATCGAAAGGGATGGGCGTACCGTGGCGGCAGTGACCAGAGGAAGGTGTGTCGAGGCGTATATGACCAAAAGTGATGAGCATGCCGTGGTGGCAGCGGCTCGAAGAAGTGCAGCACAAACAAATGATAATGATCATGCAAGCTAACCCATACAAGATACAACATGCAAGCATACAAGCATGTGATATAATGCAAAAGCAAATAAACATGCAAGTGATCGATCAATCGGACCGTGGTGGCCGGTCGAACCAAAGTGATCGGTCTACCGGGCCAAAGCGGTCGACCGAACCAAAGTGAGACGCTCATCGGGCCGGGGCGGCTGATTGGAGCGAAGTGAAATGCTTACCGGGCCGGGGGGTCTGTCGGAACGAAGCAAGATGCTCGCCAGGCTGGGGAGGCCGATCAGAGTGAAGTGAGAGGCTCACCGGTTCGGGGCGGCAGGTTGGAGCTAAGTGAAATGCTCACCGGGCCGGGGCGGCCGGTCAAAGAAAAGTGAAATGCAACATGCACCAAGCAAAAATGCAAAATGCAGCAAACCAACATGCATGTAGCAAACCGGGCTTGTGCTTACGACCTCACCTAGGAGACCTAAGGTTTAGACCCTTTGATGTGTGACACCGCCGCCTCTTGTTTTGGTGAGGAAATGCGGGAGTTTCTCTCCGGATCTCCGAGGGGAAAAATATCTACGGCGTCGCGAAATGAACTAGCTATGAAGCTTTTCCCATTTAGTGAACTCCTACAAACTTTGCAAAGCGAGCCAACTACAAAGCTTATCTCGTTTTGCCAAGTCCGACCTCTCAACTTCTCCAAGTAAAGCTGGGGAATCCAAAGCAAGGGAGTGAGGGACTCCGACCCATCGAGATTTGTGCTAAGGCTCACAACAAGAGGGAATACACCCGACTCTACGGGGGGTGTTGGCCACACACATGAAGTCATAACCTAAAGACTGGCTCTAGGAAAACCAACGATCAATCACGTAAGCACGTCGTCGCGCCGACTCAAACTTGCACACGCACCCCGTGTGGGCGATCATACCCACACGCCTAGACTCCACTATTCCTAAAGCTGGCTAAAAGGTAGGGGATATCACCACTGTGACGGTTGCAGACACATTTCCTTGCTTGCTCCAAGCCGTCGACGTCCGATCTGTGTTCCAGTATATCTCGTAGAGCGTGCACAGGAGAACAAAAAGACCCAATGATGGCAGGAGTCAATGAGGTTTCGTAAGAGTAGTTTTTTTTTTTTTTTTTTGGGGAAAAAAAATAA